CTTTGTATATTGGAAACACAATAAAATATTCAACTATTTTGCAAGTTTATTTTCTGTGCTGAACATTAGTAAACCTGTAACTTCATTTAAGTGAGAAATATAAAACAATCACAGTGGAAAGACACAGCGATCAACGAGAAATCGACAAAAAAATGTTTTAGAAGGGTTTCTTCGGTTTCACATTGAACGTTTTGAATTCCTCAATCCCTTCGTCTTCCAATGGATTCACAACACTGCTGCCCTCCAGGAGATGCTCAAGAGTGACGATGGAAAAAGGATTTTTCTGGGAGCGAGCCAGCTCCATTTCCGACGCTGTTTTTCCCGATGGCAGCATCCTTCGAGAGAAGAATTCATTGCAAGTCACCTCGAAACTGAAAGCTATTACCTTCCAACTGCCACACAGTGATCATTCGTTATAAAACTCTCTTCGAAGATCCAATCCGGTTGCAGTTTCCCGTGCTCGTACCATGTAGTCGACGTAATGAAGCAACCTAGACAAAACAGCCTAGACATCTTTGAGATGAGTATAAAGTAAAAATGCGGGGTTCATTTCTGTCAACATCCTTTGAAAACCCCTACTTCCGTGTGTTTAGAAGTGAAAGATCAACCAATTAAAATCAGTTACCAGCTTTTACAACTCAAATCGCATTAGCACCACCTGTAGCCAAGAGGAAAAAGTTTTTGCGTGCCAAAAGCCACGAAAACCGTACTTTACCGCGACTTCTCATAGTGTTGCCTCCTCTGTTTCCTGCGTAGAGACTCTCTGGTTGCGCAGTTTTGAGCACAAGAGGCATGACGCATTTTCTCAGCTGCTTTTTCATCCCGTGGCGGAGGTGGTTTAGTGACAAATGGCACTCGTACCACGCGCACGGTCCAGGTCAAATCTTGAATCGGCTCCTGCCTGGGCGAGCCACACTTCCTACCCGCCGGGGACGGTAAATTGGTACCAGCTTCATTCGGGAAGATGAAACCCTGGCCTTTACATCGGCTGGACCCCACTAGTCATTACAGGCTTATATATGGAGAGTGCATCAACGGCGAACGACTCCAGACATCCAAGATCTTATACTCCTGGGAATCGAACAAAATTTTTCCAGGTATTGAAAGAGCAGGGCTACAACGCAATCGATCGCGCGACAATCCCATCAGGTAAAAGGCAAGAGCCGGTGAGCTGCGCCAAGCTTGCTGGAAAATTTATGCTTAAAATGCATAAGGAAGTTGCTAAGTTCGAGAGATGGCTAGTAGGATGGGAAAGCAGGGGAACGCACCAAAGATCAGAAACCTATTAGCGGTGGCTGACGGGGAGGGAGCAGCAGAGAGCGGGGTAATAACACCGCCTATTTCACACACCTGAACTGTATCCCTTTAAGGAGCCTAGGCGACGGTCATACGTGCGCTTGTGGAAGGCGGCGGGGGAGAGCTCCAGATGAGAGTATCTCTAATGGTAGGGACTAGGCGCGGAAGGGGGCCGCAAAAGGCAGAGAGTGGAACCAGGGTAGGGAAACGGGGGCAACAAGCTTGCTTTTGGAACCTCATGGGTTCACCGTGGCGAATTTCCTTCCCTGGGATTTTTTTTTCTAGTTAGTGATATCAGAAGACGATCAATTCATCGTTGTAACTACGTAAAAGGTAAAAAATCCCATCTCACCACAACAATTACTCAGCGCACTTCACCTCAGCTCTTCACTACATCTCGCATGTTTTTTTAGCCTCTTCGTGATCAAGATATGAATATTTGGTAACTACAACGTCCAAGTCCCCCTTCAACAACATTTTAGGTGCTACCGCGAACAATCCCCGTACTCTTTGCTATCGACGCAAAGCGATGGCGTCATTTCTGGCATTTCTCCTTTTGTTGAAAGCAGTGGGCATGAAAATTTGGTTCCCCGGAAAAAGCAGAAGTCAAAAGCGCATTCATCCGAAAGTAAAAACGGGGAGAAATGGCTGAGCACGCACGAAATTGACCCTTTCCTATCTGCTTCAAATGAGAATTGGGCGATGCCATGTCTATGAGTGATCATCAGCGGCTACCGATTTGGCTATGCGTAGGTGTGTGGTTGGCCATCCTGTAGCGCGGGTGGAATATGATGACGGCACCCGACTACACTTCCCTCCAGTCCAGTTCCCTTGCGTTTCTGAGCGGAAAAGTGCACGCTACTGCAGCTTCGGACCCATACACCTCATGGGTACCAAGATTCGCCTAGGTGGATGTACAGTTTGTCTTTGAGTAAACAGGACTTCTGTAAGTTGGGTAATCATACCATTGGTTGGCCTGACAGCGGAAAATTGTCGCATAGTTAATAACTAATAATAAAAACGCCAGATATAGCTGAAAGTGCAAAAATGCTACAAACAGCATATATATCTAGCTTCGCTGCAAGGCTGGGCGTGTCAGGCAGTATGAGTGTGTCACGCCGTCAAAGCCGTTCTCTGCCTTCTTGTTGAAGCGCGCATGCGACAAAAAGTGGTAGAAAACGAGTAATACGAACGATATGATACAGTCATATCACTTGCTCGCTTTAACAACTGGTGGAGAACGGGTTTGGCACCGCCAAACTCATCCCGCCTGACACGCCCAACCGTCCGCAGCGAACTACACATTATGATGAAACTGTAAAAAGGAACTGAATGAAGACAGCAAGCGTAGGAATAGGGCTTTTCTGCCACCTTGTGAATCTCACCAACCTCAGAGTGGTTATGAATGAAGAATAAAGATCAAGTACTAACCGGGACCATAAGGCTCTTCAGTCGTATGGAAATCAAAAACTGCTAGATCGTCCACTAATCCCGTCCCTGTGGCTTTCAGCACAGCCTCCTTTAAACACCAGATACGGTAGAAAGCCCTCCACCTGAAAGTAATAGCATAAATTAGCTTTCTGTCAGAAATACACGATAGAAGTAAATGGACGATGAACTGCGCTGCGACGCAGTTGGTAAGTCATTCAGGTCCCTTCATTCCTTATAGTTGTCTGTCAAATGTAGGCAGATGGACTCTCTAGAGAATAAGGGTCTGCTCCACCCAAGGCACGTTACCGCGCCACGTCACTGCAATTACAGGAAAATTTTTGTCAGAACATCGATCATCCCCCCGAATTTTCCTCCAGTACTAACCTCCCATCCCTCTACCCTATCCAACTTCCCATCATTTTTGCCTGCTTTCTCGGAAAAATTCTCCATCCTTTCTCCCGAGAAACCAACACATTCTTTCGTTCTCAAAACATTCTTCTCAAAGACAAAGTACCCATCCTCCTACCTCCACCAGCCTAAATGCAAACTTCACCCTGCTGGGATCCCAAACTCTGGTTACTCCAATTACGTTGAAGGTTGGGGTCGCATTTGGCTGGTTGGGTCGCTGTTTGGTTCGCAAAAGGTAAATGAAGCTCATTCCCTCCATTCACACATTGCTGAAACCAAAATGACGAAGGTCAGAAGGTCAGGGAGACTTGTATAAAATGTACTGGTACATGCGAGACTCACAAGACGGCGTTCGTTTTCGGTTTAATTCACCAGGAGCTCATGGAGACTGCCCTAGAAAATAGCGGGCAATAGGTTTGATGGTTTCGAGTCCTCACGGTGTCAAACTTTTGACATTCTAGCCAGACTCTTTTTTTCTGTTTCCGTTATGGTTAGATTCCCGCTCTACCCTTGCCGCGACAAAAATAAATTAAACAACGCTCTCTATTGCCAAGTTCGTAGTGAACTAACCTTGGTATGTTCGCCCTCTTTGGCCTTCTTAAAAGCCCGTCAAGCAAAATGAGCTGCACTTTTGTGATTAAAACGCAACTGGGTCATCGCTCTCTACACAAGCAGGACACTTCGAAAAGGGACGCTACTACAATCTGAAAGACGTAGTCAAAGGTCATCCTGCACATCTCGACTTACAGTGTCACAATTTTATGAAAAAATTTCTTAGCAGTCCGATCTATAATAGTGTTTAACGCACTCACTTTTCTCTATCCGTCGGTGCTCTTCGCATCATTCGATATTCAAATTCAGATAACTGCTTTGACATGAAATTTATATGATCAGCTGCTGATCTCCCTCGAGATTCGTCTATTCGCATGACATCCACACCTAAACTATCACAGTTCAGATAGCCAAAAAAGTGGGATATACGGTCTTTGTTCGCTGCGGCGGAGGTGGGGTGTCTAGGAGCATGGATGGCGATTTTGATGTGGAGCCAGCCCGTTCTCAACCATTTAAGGAACAGAGCGAGCGACGAAACCACGAATTCCAGCAAAGCCCACGCCTCGGTATTTGCCAAGGAACAAGACTGCCATGAAGATGATTTAATTGAAAAGATTCACTGTTCGAATTTGATGAGTCCCTCTGAACTCCGTCATGCAGTCAGCGAGGAGCTGGACAGGACAATCGTACGATTCACCAACTCAAACAGTTACATTCCTTCGCGTTGGCTGCGGCGCGAAGGATTAACTGTTCGGCTTGATATACGGCGGTGCAAGGCTAGTTTCGATCGTGCTTCATGTTTGTCGACGGCCGCTTGATTATTGAACTCTATAGTTTGCGATACCCTTCTTCTTTATAGTGCGTCTTTGCGAGAATTAAAGCAAGATTTGGCATATGGCAACTATACTAACCCCAGTTTTCACGAAAACAGGCGGATCATAGATCACCTTTCTTCAGATCGCCTGAATTTGGGTTTAGGAGTAATTCCGACGTCCGTGAAAAACGAATATCACTTCCACTTGGCCTGAAAGTGCCTGGCGTCCGCTCCACAAGCGCTAGTGATTTGGGGCATTTTGGCGCGGCACCGAGCGGTTTCAAGCATTCGGCTGGATGTGATATTCGTTTCAGGAGGTTCGACTAGCCCTGGGCACGAGCCGTTCAGCGGATTTGGTGATGCTTAGGGTACTTTTGGCGCCCGGCGCTGTGTAGCGGCCGAGCGCCAGCGCTTTCGGGAGGATGACGGATGCTGGATATTCTGTGTTCAGAGCTTCGCGAATTACCCTAGAACCAACTTTCAGGCTGACATCTGCCCGGTAGAACAAGTCTATCAAACATTCGCAGCCCGTTTTACGGAAATAACTGGGATAGTAACAGTTGAACAGTGCCTAAGATTTTTACTGCAGCTAATCCTTGGTAGAGTCGGCCACAATTATGTGCCCAGGGCTGTGTCCACCTGAACAGGAGACTGTATTTGTTTTACCGCAACGGTACCAACTTAGTATAACACAATTCATTACCCGAGTGCCTCCCTCACCATGGCTAGTTCGCCAAATTACGGAACTTTGAATGGAGACTTGGGTAGATCGATAGAGTCTATAAGGTTATTTACAAATATAGATAGCAAAACTGCAACCTGCATTTCACAAGCAACTTATGAGCAGGTAAAGTTTGTAATGGTGCAGTAGGTGGAACTTAGGTGCACTGTGAAGCAATACGGCGCAAGAAATTGCTACGTTCAATCGATTCGCGTCGTGGGTGCGTTCAGAAGCGTAACGTTTGCACGTTCGACGACTCGATCTCGACTGTTATGCGATTTCCTCGCTCATGCTTCACAGCTCACCCAAAGGCCCCCCTCGACACCCTTACTGCCATTACAAACTTACGGCTGTGTGCCTCATAAAGTTCCTTGTGAAATTGCCGGTTGCAGTTTCGCTATCTATATGTTAATCAACCTTTATAGACACTATCGATACTAACCAGTCTCGCATTCAAAGTTCCAGTGGTAAGTTAGGCCACTTTTCCTGGTCAGGGACAAGTTTACACATGGAAAGGCGGACCCAACACCAAAACAAGAGTCCAGTAATTGAGGAAAATTGCTTGAACGACCGCTAATCGTTTATTGGTACCGGGCCGAAAGCTGATGGACACGACTGTGCCCTAATCGGCGCTTCTCACTAATCGGCGTCAATTGGTTCTGTTATGTACATTATTCTATTGCTCCACTATAGTACGCCAGGGATACTAATCAGAGCCAAATTCTCTCAGACTAATGGCTTTCCATTCTTAGCGCATGGCTCAAGGAAGGAGAGGCACTCCATGTAGTCATTAAGCCTGCAGAAAATGAGAGCATTTTGAGCTTTGGGAGGGGAGGAGGCTGCGGAGGGCGACCTTTGCCACTTTTCGCTGGCCGCGTCTCTTTTGGGGGCTCATGCTAACAGGTCCCGCTCTGGTGAGACGTGTAAACTTTTGTAAACTGCTAAAAGGTACAAGTGAGCCACTTTAGATGAACGAATCCAGAAGTGCTCTTCACAAGGTGGTCCGTACAAGCTTTGGTGCCGCCTGCCACTAACCCGAACTATCGCCCAAATGTGCCTGCTCTCTTTCCATCAAGAGCCTTCGCACTCAAGCAGAGTGTAACGGAAAAGCGTACCAATATCTGCTCAGAATGCTTCTTCTTTGATTCTTCGCCAAATGAATACCAGTGAAAGGATCGTCACGGGCTTGGATGTAAAAAAGAACCTCACAGATCCAATTTTCCTTTGCCCTCCTTTTCTAAACCCCCACATATTCTACGCTCTTTATGTTCCCCTGGATTGCAAACGGAGCCGAGGTAGAAAAGGCAATCGGGTACAAGATAATGATGGCTATTAAAATAAGATTTATTACCTACTCTCCCCCGCTCTCCCCCACTCTGAAACGGCTATTGCCATTAAGTGGCGCCATTGCTGACGCCATTGGTCGGAAGACCATTATTGACGACTCTATATTTCTTTCGTATAATTCCTCTTAATCTTTACGACCGCCTTACAAAAAAAGTATTAGATATGACTACTGGTGGACCCCACACTCGGAACAGCCATTTCCTAAACTGAAAAAACACCAAGGATTCACATTTTTCCAGGCCAACCCACCCTTCCACTTCTAGCACGATCTAGTTAGAGTCGCATTTGGCTCAGAAATGGTGGCTTCAAGATCGATTGACCCCTACCAGCCGTTTCCCGGGTCACACACGTATTTGGAAATCTCCATGATTCCCAACAAATTGAACGTGGTGCAACAGCATCAAGTCATCCTTGCACAAATTGAGGTGCGAGAGGAGGTATAGCAGTTCCGAACAGCTGCTTACCACGGTCCGAGAAGCGGTCCAACGTCCGTACTCAGCCCAACAACCTCCCTCCCTGTCCTCAAGGGTTGACTTATTGGACCAAATGGGCTTGGAAGATCAAGAGAAAAGAAATTCCTCTGCTGTCCTGAGTGGAAGAAGAAAGCTTGGCGGGGAATAGATTGATCAAGCTGAGCGCTTTGCTCTTTATTTTTTGATTTGGTATGAGACAGGCAAGAGAAAAAAAACTCATCAACAAAGAAGCTGTAGGATGTTTCTCCTTTCAACAGAACAATTATATCTCTGACGTGGTGATAATTCATACCTAATTCTTCATCCAAGCTCGTCGCCAGCGCAACGAAGTCGCCCTGGTGTGATACGTTGAAGTTCAGCCGAGCATCGGAGTTCAAAAGGTACGGCTTGCCTTGTTTTGCTCGTCCGATTTTGATTGCATGCCACGGTGTGCCACACACTTTATGGACGGCTTGTCTGAAAACCTTCCATTTCATCATGAAAATTTAGGACTTTGTAAAGATGGTCTTTTATCTGGAAGCACGTAGACCACTGCGCCGCCCTCGTTAATGCACAACTCCTTTTTCACCACCACTTGTGCCCCACCAGGCCGGAAACCTCGATATTTTGCAACCATTATACCAATGATTCAGTTAACTATGTGCTCTCTGTCCTGTTCTCTACTCTCGACGAACTGTGCTGTTTATTTTATGCTGTTTCGCACAAAATCTTCTGGCTGAGACTAGAAGAAGCTGCTGGGGCTTGTTCCCGAGGCTCTCGTCGTGTTGAGGACAACAACTTCCATTTGGTTTGACAGCGAAGCGGTCAATGTGTCTTGAGGAGAAGATTCCTGCGCCGGCGTTTTGAAAAAAATTTTCCCGTTTGTGACCTGTTCGCGGCATTAACCCCACCCCGTCCCCTCCTCCCCGCTCGACAGAAAATTTCCCGCGCAAAAAAACTGGTTAGAAAGCCTGGGATTCTATGGAAATGCGTAGTGAGGTGGCCGGTAGAGGAAGGGGGTCGCCCGTCTGAGGACCCTCCTTGAGGGGTGGGGCGGTCGACTGACACCCCATTTCATACATCACAATGATGTACCCTAGGTCTGAGGGCTGCCAAGGTCGCAAAACATATCTCTTCACAGAAAACTCCCGTATCAAAATCGCTGAAGACTTTACTTACGGACCTATGCAATGACGTGAGGCTACGTTGTCATGAAGGAAGACGACCTAACTTGGCTTGTGAGGCTTCTCAGTTGGAAAACCTCCTTTATTCGAGGACCTCGATTACGTAAACACAACATTTTCTGCGCCAAGCCGACCTTCCCATTTCAGCAAATGAGCGAAATCGGAGTCGGAGGAGCGACATGTCGTGCCAGAGCTTTAAATTTCTTAACCTTGACGATGACTAGGTCGACGTCACCGGCTACATTTCCCCTGAACGATTGATGCTGGGGGAGCTGCTTGTAGAACATGCAGTGTGAAAAATATCAGAAACGTATTCCCCGACGCATCCTCGATTGTACCCCAGTATTATAGGGTCCGAGAACATTTGCTTCGCTCATTTGGCTTCAACATGAGGTCAGCTATAAACCACCGTAACGGGAGCGAAAGCTGCATTGGAAAGGTCTCAAAGTTAGTGGCAGGCCCAAGTAGGGCATTTACCCAGATAAGCCTTAATATTATAGCCGTGATATTCAAATATTTCAGCACGGCATGCTGATCTTCACCTGGAGGCACATTCCGCTCTCTTCTCCTCACACGGGCGGGATCCCGGACCTGTCGTTGTGTGCTCTGCAATGCACTTCCACTTTTAACAATTCATCTCTTGTAAGACAATGGATGAAGGACGCCCAGTGAGAAAGGCACAATGGTTCAGTCGTTATCACTGAAGTCAGTCGGGGCTTGTCGAAAGGCAAGGGTTTTGACATGGCGCTAGCTCTTTTCCACCACTCGTTGAACGCCCAAATCTGCAACGATCGATGGAGAAGGGGCAGGCAGGTAAGCCATGACTTCCTTCTTGTTCTCGAACTGTACTAAACACGTGCGATCGTAGAATGTGTTTCCAAACACAGCTGATATCGGCGCAATCAGTCGGGTGGTATAAGAAGGGGTGTAATGAGCCCACCCGCGGCGTTAACACTGGTTTTAACACTGGTTGTTTTCTCCCTAGACCTTTCATCATTGGTCAAAAAAAGGAACCGGGAAAGGCTCAACGCCTCTCGACACCTCCCCGACTGATTGCGATGATATCAACGATAACTCCGAGCGGCGCCTTTGAATTGATATAAATTACCTCACTAAAAGTCTGCCTATGATGCAAGAAAGGCTGTCATCACGAAATCGAAACCGTCGTTGAGCTTCGATATCCTCACTTGGTAGACACTGTAGAGCTCGACGAAAAAGCTGCTCAAACGAACCAAGAGCTTCACTCTGAAATTCAGCGACTTCGTAATAATTACTGATGAAGGAGTCATTACAGCATTCATGATAACTACGGCTCGCAAAAAGTGTGGGGGTTAATCAGAAAAATTCCATCAGCCTCAATACTGGGTGAACGAAAATTTAGGCATTTACGCGATGTGACATGTACGACCTCCTGCAAAGAAGGAAAATCTCGGTTCTTCCACGACCCATTTGTTACCCGAAATTCCGCTGCCAAGAGCGTGGGAGGATGTTAGATGGCGACCTGCGTTGAGCATTAAAAAAAACTAAAAATTTCCTTCGTATTTTTAAATTTGTTCCATTGAAACACTGCTTGCATAGGATAGATTTTGTATGAAAAAACCCCATCGGGCAATGACCTTCACGGCTCGCCGGCACATCCACGACCCCGAATCGATGATCCCGACTTTCACCAGCATTCCCACGCACTATTTCAGAATTATCATCTGATATTTTCCCTTGGACGGAAAGCATGCTCCCCCCCACCAGCCCAGTTTGTCCATCCCGCCCAAGAACCAAGCTCACATGACGATCTCGAGGCAGTGGGTGGATGGTGGAAGTGCAGGCACGTCGACTTGGCGCCGATCAAGGGCGACGTTGTGGATAAGCCAGAAAAACCATGACGGTTATTCACCCGATATACTACGAAACCTTATCCTACGCACTTCATATTTCAATGTATTTTCTATTCAGTTCAAACTTGCAGGAATTTTGGGACATCCTATATAATCCCCTCCCTCAGCTACCAAACGGGACTCCTCGGATATTCCTCCGCTTGTCTGACCCTCTTCCCGCCAGCTTATTGAGAGGAGCAGCACACTGAGCAAAATAGCGGGGAAAAAGAAGGATGATCCAGCCATGAATTAATGGCAGGAAGATTAAAGCGCAAAAAAGAGAAAAAGAAGGATTTAAAGCCGAAGACAGATGATGTGCGAAACCATGGGGTGTAAGATGAAATGTGAGGTCGAATGAGAAAGCGGAAGTCACGTTTTCCAGGAAAAAGACGGATTGAAGAAGAGCAATGGCGATGAAGTGAAAGCGAATAACGGAATGAACTAATAGTGAAGAAGAAAGGCCATGAGATTTTACACAACCGAACGGAGGTGCACCGGTCGTCAAAATTACTGTCAAATTTCCTCATTCATAGACTGCCGTCATAGGTCTACTAAGAAGCTGGTGGGGACTCCTTCAGAGCCGTGGGAGGAAGATTCGGTTTCAAGATTTTTATTTAAATTCAAAATAGATGAGGCTGAGAGTGACAGATGATCCATTGAGCGTATGGAACCTTACCTTATGTGGCAATTTGCAAGAAGTCTGAGCTAGGGAAAAAAGGTTATTTGGAGACGCGACCAATAGCCGTTTGAGGACCTCTCTGCCTTTGGGTCTTGCCTGGGTGTTATAGCGCTACTTTCCAGTCGCGGCGAAGCACAACAAAATGGTTTTGCAAGGAGAAAAGGACAAGACAGTATGCTGTAGTCGCAGTCGTTCGCGCTGGCGAAGTATCGGCGGCCAGTGCCGGAAATTCCCGATGTAGTTAGTTGCTACTAGACAGCAAAAACTCATATAATTATAAGACAAAGACAGGTTCAAAAACAAAGCTCCTGACATGAATAATTCGAAATCTTTCCCACCATCTTTTGATACTCATACGAAAGGCCTGTAAACAACACGTCTTTCGGCAGGACCGTCGCTCGCCGCTTCCACAGGACTGGCATTGATACGATTCCTATCACCATATTCGCGTCCGCATGAGGGTGAGGGTACCGCTGCAGGCCTATCCACTCAACGTGGAGCGGAAGGGTTGTCCACCTCTCTCCTTTCTCTTCTTGCTGCGTTTGAACTTTGTGTCTTCTCAGTCTGATTACAGTTCACTGTGTCTGTATCTGACAAGCCAACACTTAGATAATGCTCTATTGGGAATTAAAGCCCCACAAATGTCTTGCCTATAGCCGTTGTTTCCTAACTTCCCAAAAGCTCTGAGAACTACTATCCCTAAGGTGACCTCAATAAAAAGGACATAACCTCTTCTTCAGCGCGCATACAGTTCGCCCAACGCAACGAGTCATCCAGAAGTCTAGCTTAAAGCAATTCAGTCCCTGAAATCACAACATTTTATCTGAATTAGATGTGTTCGCACATTTTCGGGAGAAAACGTAGTTGGGGGAGGAGGGCCATTAGCCGCGCCTCTGTGTCACTTCCTCGAACCACGACTAAGGTCTAGTGAAGACCATGTCTCTGAGAGACTACCTGTAGGCGATTCTGGTCATCTGCGCTTGCTCAGCCAGGCCTCGTTGGAGAAAAAAAAAAGGGGGGGGGGGGTGGAGGAGTGTTACTCCCAAGACGTTCATAGGGGATGGGGGAGAGGAGGTAACATATCTAGCATCTGCACCAAGACCAACCCACTTAGCAGGACAGCGGCGTTGCGCCTTGACTCTACTTCCCAAATCAAATGGTGCTGCGATGTCGCGACTGGGTATTAAACTTCCACTTAAATAAAGTATAGTACGGTAAAGTAGTAGTAAAGCACCCATACAAAGGGACTCAGAGTGGCGACCGATAGTCCCCCCCAACTACGTTAGCGCCGAAAGTAAAATAAAACAAAACGGAGGACACGAACAACAAAGGGACGGGCACGACAGAAAAATGGGACTTCAGTTTTGTGACGAAGAGGACACCAAAATAATTGAAAAATAGCGATACAAACGCTAAAATCTGAAAATGTTCGGAAAAAATGGAAAGCTGCTCATCTATGACGTCACAAGAGGTTTGCCTGTTCTCAGAGGGAATTGATATAAAATGGAAGAGTATTGGCGCTTGCGTATTTACATTCCGCTATAGTTCACAAGAGAAATGCATGACCTTATTCTCGTAGAACTTCAATTCTTCAAAAAAAATGCATGAAGGAAAAGAGGTTACAACGGCCGAAATGATGGTAATCGCACTCCAATGGCCTCAGCGATCTGTATCGGCTGGCTGAGAATATCGTCACGGCCTTTGCATTTCTAGGACACCACTAGCCTTGCGCACTTCGATGACAGCCAACTTGCAGGCAAAGATGATCAAAGTATGAAACATTACCGGTCACACCGCTGCTTTCTGGGAATCTCTTAAAATTCTACAGTATTTCGTACAACTGCACTCAAAACAGTAATGACATTTCCCTACGGACAGCATCGTTAGCATTGATCGATGGAATTTCCTCAACTTCAGAAGGATCAAAACGAGAGAGAGAGTCAGTGTTTATGCTATGTAATCGCTCAGTTATGAACTTTAAGTCAATTGACCACCTTCAGAGGACAAAAAAGAAAAAAAAATCGTTCAGAAACGTGCTAAATAAGCCACTTTTGGAAGTCACACCGATCGCTGTAGCAGTTTCCGACTTTGATGTGGTACAGATCGCTATCTTTTCGGCTCTGATGGAAAACCTTTCTAGGCGATGGCCCGCTAGCGAGTTTGAACAAGTTGGGGGGGGGTTAGCTGCAACCAAGACGCCATTGTAGCAACTAAACCAATCTTGAGAATGGCAAGACTGGTTTGACAGCGGATTCATCCAAGATTTGGCCGCCGAATAAGTACGCGTAGTAAAATGGCGCCACTTAACCCTATTCCGCCTACGTCTATTCTGTTCTTCATATGGCAATTCACTGACTCGTTCGATAAGTGCTATTGAGGTCTTTATTCGCTTCCACTCGCATCTCGAATTTCACAATGCATAGAACTTATTACCTCAGTTCAGGAAAGATCTGCGGCTCAAGCATTCTACTTCAGTGAAAAGGGCCCAGTCAATGTGAGAAACTCCACCGAGAATGGGAGACGGTCAAGAGAATCGTAATTTGCCGCCGCGCGCGGCGATGGGCGCGATGTTTTCTTAACTCGTGTTAACCTGTCGATTAGAGCACCGGACTTCATGTAGACCCCGTCATCGTAGACATTCATGACTATTTTCGGTTCTGAATTGCCTGTTGTCGCCATCTACTACCTGGAACCATCGTCATTTGCTGGCGCGACGTCGCACGCGGCGCCCACCAGCGCGGCGAATTACGATTCTCTTGTCACATACCCACCGAGAAGAGGTAGGGGATAGAAGAGTGAGAAATGATACAACTAAAGGTACTGCTAACACCCATACAACTCCACACAAGACTGATCGATTCCTTCATCTGTTAGGAGGTAAAGCACA